TACTAATATTATAAATGCGAAAGAAACTCTGTCTGTCTGTCACGCTTTCACGCCAAAACTACTGAACCGATTTAAATGAAATTTTGTACACAGATAGTCTAGAGCCTGAGAAACGACATTGGCTATTTTTTAATTACAAAAATTTATTTAAAGAAACATATTTATTTAAGGGCTTCAACGCGAGCGAGGCCGCGGGCGAAAAGCTAGTTTTCTATATGCGTAGACTAGACAGAGCAAGTATGTACTGTGGACTATGACTGCCAGTGCTCGAGGTCTCCCCCAGCTTAAATGGTATCATTGACGCAAAAAACTTGTTGACAAGTAGATTTGTTTCGTGATTATTTTAGGAAATTACGACGACAACATCTGGTATTATAACGTAAGGCAAAATCTTTGTACCCCTTTTCTACGATAATTGCGTTCACGGACGAGTATGTAATTTCCTGCACTTATAGTTTATAATAGAAGGTGTGCCGAATGCTAATATTTTTTATAAAGTTATGCATAAAAATACATTAAATCAATAAAATAAAAACATTACACAAACTATCATGTATAATTAATTATGGTCGAATTTCAAAAATTTATAAAGTACAATGTTGCTATTATACTAAGTAAACTGCGCGCCTTGCAGTTTTAAGTTTGTTGTAAGTTTTTTCCTCTTCATTTCTGGCCTCCAAAACGAATGACGCAAGTCACCAAATAGAATATGTCGCATCGAGGCCGTATTATGGTAGTCATGCTTACCCGTTTCGTTTGCTTTTGCATGATAACTTAAAAAAAAAACTGTTTAAAATAGCTTGCATCTTTTTTAAAATTGTACATTTTTATATTCTGTATTTTTATTTCCATATTATATGCACAGTTTATTGTACGTACTAGCACGGTCTTATACACATATCAGGATAATTCCAATATACAGTAAATCCACAAAGGAAAAAAGGTTGTCAACGGATCTGCAACCCTCGGGTGCACCAGATGTCCATGGGTGGCGGTGTTTACTTAACATCGTGTGAACCGTCTGCTTGCTTGGCAACTTTTCACATTAAAATAAAAAGTCTCATTGAACATCCTCATCTTTGTCGAATCGGATATCCCGCGATCGCAGTGACGCTAGTAGCTATGCGCTTTGATAGGCCCATGTTCAAACCCAAATACCAGCAGTGTATAAAACGTGCGTTGCGTTCGGTTCACGGTCTCACACCACTTTCTTTGGGCTAAAAGTTTGGTGCACCGTGGAAAAACTTAATTATTTTATTGTTGACAACGATACAAAACTGACACATTTTTAAGATAAAACAATTCTGGACGCATTTAGAAAAATCATAAAATATAATACGCCGCATTTGGAAATGTCTGACTTTTTTGACAATTCTTAATTAAATCAATAATTATATTGAATATATATTAGGTATACAAAAACCACATTCAACTTGTAGTCAAAATCAAACAGATACCAATACAGACAAAAAACTTCCCCTTTAAATGATGCACTTATAGACTGGATTCCTATAGACAAGGCTTTACGAATCAAGGATGCTTAGTGGTACCGTAAAAATACCATGTGTTATGAAGCTTTACGGTATAATCTAATAATATATAATCTATAGCCCAAATGGTATTAAGCCCTTTTTTGTAATCCTTATTGTAAGGTTTTGCAATAAAGCATAAATAAATAAAATAATCTAAGGAAATTGTCATGTCCATTATATCATACGTTAAATATCATATCTATGCTGAAGTAGCCGATTGGTCAATTAAATTTGCAGACCAACGTAATGAAATCGAAAGACCTTTTTACTAAAAAATTGAAATAAACATTTTCAAAAGATTGACGAGAAATTACTTTGATGTTAGCAGAACGTAGCCAGTGGCTTCAAACCTCCCCTCGAAATATCCAAAATATAACAATAATATGTAAACAATTAAAATAGATCATCGATTTTTCAAACATATGAACGGATTTTATACAAAAAAAATTAATCAAGAATCGAAATGTGTTTCTTTTTAAATATAACTTAGCCTTACAGATGCAATACTGTAAGATACAATTTCGGTGTTTTATTTTCTTGTGTTTGCCCAGTATAAAAATAGGAAGTGTCACCTCGTAACGCTGTTTAAATTTGTATTATTTGCCTATTGCTAGTTACGTGTAAATTGCTTGTTATTTATTATGACGTTAGTTGGTTATTTCAGTTGGTCAGGCGTTTTGGTTTGATAAGAACTACTGGCAAATTCCGATAAAATATTCAATTAGAGGGTAACAATTAGAACATGGGAATTGTAAAAAACCATTAAATTTGTCCCACATTTTTGACCATTTCCGGGTTGTTATCGAATACTATTTATAATAATTATCATATCACGGACTAAATTCTATTGCGCCAATTAAACAAACACGCAAACAGAGACGAGACCGATCACAATGTTTTTTATTTATATTTTGATTACAGTTCAGAAACTGGTTAAAATAAAATATTATTACAGGATGTGAAGTAATGATTTGATTACGAATTAAGGTTTTAAAACGGATCAAAGCGTATAAATTTCGGATATTAAGCTCAATAATTAAAAGTTAGTCAAAAACGCTACTGCAATTATTTGTGTCGTTTTGTATCATCATATTCAACGTCCTTACATGAACGTTTATAAATTGAGGATCGTAAACATGACTATGGCTATGACGTAACGTTGTTTGCACTTGTCTGCAACGATGACTAACGTCAAACGTTTAGATGATTTTCGGCTTAAGTTAAGACTTAATTGGTGTCATGGGGCTGAATATAACTAAAAATATGGTTACCTGTCACCGGAAGTATTCCGATGTCATTTCACTTAATTTGACGTATCATTATTTTTTTTTTAATACAATTTTAAAAAGTTATCCCCTATATGTGTTTTCATTTATTGTAAAGACACGCTGTATAAAAATGAATCCCTATTTCCCTTGGTCACGCCATCACGCGTGAATGGCTGGACCGATTTCGCTAATTTTTTTTATATTATAAAAAAAAATCAGCGAATTTTCCTTGAAATAGGAAGATGGTTCTTACGGAGAGAAAAAATTTAAAAATTGCCTGAAAATGTCTAAAAACAACACTTCTATATTTCCCGTACAAAATATTCGTAATAATACTTAAAAGTCAATTTGAACTTCAATACCATACCATAATTCCTAGATTGTGCAGACTATTAAATTTAAGATAGTTCAATAGATATTTTTCACGACAAATTATCATTATTTAAATCGAAAATTGTCAGGGTATTGAATCAATTTAACGCCGTAGACGTCTAACATTCGATGTTAACTGTACATATCTATAACGCATCACTTTTATAATATGTAATAGTTTTGTTACTTTGTTATTATATTTTATGTAGCATTGTAGTTATATGGTGTGGTGTGGTGGGATATATGTTATTGTAGTTATATTGTTTTCTGTTTTTTTTTAGTTTTTCTTTTATTGTTTTGTAATACTGTTTAAGCACCTATACTCTGTGTATGCAGTGTCTGTCTGTAATTGAAATTGCATGTTGTTCTTAACATGAGTATATGTTCATCTTGTATGTTATTTCTAAAGACTTGTAATTTTGTAGATAGACCTTAATAAATAAATACATTGCACCCGTGCGAAGCCGGGGCGGGTCGCTAGTTATTTCATAAATACCTTTACCTCCATATTTATTACATTAGTCTTTTTAAACAGAGAACTCCGGTTTTTAAAGGTCAAGAATCTTTATATAGCAATGTCTTCTAGCGAGAAAGATAAAGTTTATTGTAAGGTGTCTCGTCGAAATCGCATATTACAACTAGCGACCCGTCCCGGCTTCACACTGGTGCAATGTATTATACATATAAACCTTTCTCTTGAATCACTCTATCTATTAAAAAAAAACCGCATCAAGATCCGTTGCGTAGTTTTAAAGATCTAAGCATACATAGGGAAAGACAAACAACGGGACGACTTTGTTTTATACTATGTAGTGATGATACTGGAAGTAAAGTCAGCCTATAAAATTAGGTATTGGTAATAGTAATAATTGAATATTTAAAAATTGCAACTTCTAATATTGAAAGTCAGTATTCAATGAAAATAATAATCAGGTTATATTTGTAAGTTAATGTTAATTAAAAAGCGCTGAAGAAGCAATAATAATTTACAAATTATCTCGAGACGGATGAGACTTACTTGCCTTACGGAAAAAATAACTAATTGTAAGTTTATGATTTATGTTGAATGAATGAGTTCCAAACAAGATTAAGTATTTGTAAAAAAATTAAATTCCAATATTGTAATTTTCCGTGGATTGACAAGGCCAGGTCAGAAATTCACTTGTACTTTTAAACTGCCGTTTTGTGCGGATTATAAAAAGATAGACATGTCACTAAAATTAGACCAATTAACATTAGATTGTGTTACTCATTCACAAAAAAGTAGCCGTCTTAATTTAGACCTTGCTACATTGCAAATTATACTGCAACCGATGATAGTAAAAGGAAATTGCAAATATTTGAATTGTACTGGGTTCAGAATTTCAATGCGTTAATAAAATGCCGTCATAAATTTCAAAATTAGATATCAAGTTGTTCGAAATGCCGCATTTGTATTGAGATTAATGAAAAATCTGAGTTTGGGGTCCAATATTCGTTTGAACAGAAAATAAAATAGTTCCTATGTTTTAAAAATTCGAAATTCCTTTACATTTAGACATGTTACCCAGAATTTGAGTCAGTACAAAGATTTGCAAAACCATGCCTTCATTATACAAGTACATCTTTTTACTAATATAATATAGTTGTGTTCTCTACAAAACACATGACCATGGTGTTGAAATGTATTCGAAAAAAAAAAGTAAAGTGCGATAAAATCTGTAAACTAATTTTACTATTTACTAAAATTTTCCCATCCAACTTTTTTTACTTTCCTATACAACGCCATTCTTATTGAGGGAACATTAATGAAAAGCACTTAATTAATTTGAATTCGATCGGATTTCAGGTGCGTGCGAAAATCAATGACCTGAAATCAAACAAGAGGACAAAGGAAATGGGTATGGCGTCGCCATGCGACGAGTCTACGGTAGTAATCGTGGGTGGCGGGCCATCCGGTGCCACGTGCGCCGAGACACTGCGAAGCGGCGGCTTCAAGGGACGCATCACAATCGTCGCCAAAGAGAACTACCTTCCCTACGACAGGATCAAGGTGTCAAAGATGGGAACTGTCACGGACATAGAGAAACTCCAAGTCAGATCCCAGGAGTACTACCAGGAGGCGAACATAGACATAATTAAAGGCGTAGAAGCGACCAAACTAGATACGGAGGGCAAACTGGTCCACTTGAGCAACGGCACCAAGTTGCGCTACAGCGCGGTCTACTTGGCGACCGGGTGCAAGCCGCGAGTTCCGGACATACCCGGCATTGACTTGAGGAACATATTCACCGTGAGGAACTTCGAGGATTCCGTAAACATAATACAGTCGATCGGCGCGGAAAAGGACAAGGACGTAGTCGTTCTAGGTCTGAGCTTCATCGGACTGGAAGCGGCCGCCTCCTGCGTCCAGGCGGCCAAGTCTATGACGGTCGTCGGCAAGGACAGCGAGCCGCTCGGCCAGGTGTTCGGCCCCGAGATCGGTGGTAGCCTCAGGAGGCTGTTCGAAGAGAAGAACGTCAAGTTCCACTTCGGCACGACGATCGCCAGATGCAACGGCGAAGGAGGCGCGATAAAGTCCGTCGAACTGGCCAACGGCACGACACTACCGGCCGACGTCCTGATACTGGGCGTGGGGACGACGTATTACACGGACTTCCTTAAAGAGAGCGGCGTCGAGATGCGGCCGAACGGCGCGGTCGTGGTCACCGATAGACTGGAGACCAGCGTGAAGAACGTTTACGCCGGCGGCGATATCGCCCACGCGCCGGTTTACGCGCAGGGCGGCGAGCCAATGAGCATCGGCCACGTGGGCCTCGCCCAGTACCACGGCCAGGTGGCCGGCCTCAACATAATGAAGAAGGAGACGCCGCTCAAAACCGTCCCGTACTTCTGGACGATGCTGTTCGGCAAGTCTATCCGGTTCGCCGGCTGCGGCAAACCGGCGAGCACCCAAATCGAGGGCGACGTGGAAGCCCTGAAGTTCGTCATGTTCTTCTTCGACAAGTCCGATAAAGTCATAGCCGTGGCGTCCTGCATGAGGGATCCCGTTGTCTCACAATTTGCCGAACTTCTATTTCAAGGTAGATCTCTGTACAAAAAGGACCTCAAAGATGATCCATTCGCTTGGACGAAAGTTGTTTATTAAGTATTGTGGTTTTAATCAAATCAGTATTACATAGATGGTAAATAGACTCGATCAATATGTGAGTCAGCACATGGTCCTTTATAAAGTAATATTTAGCTTGCTTTATGGCATTATATCCAGGCTTGTTACATACATACATAAATGTGATAATATGTTATTGTTATGAATAATATGTGTATATATATATATGTAAGATATTATATAACAATTATTTTTATTTCTAATAAATAAAATGTGTACTTAAGATCCCTTGAAAAGCAGAAGGCATAATTGTATTTAAAAAAGTAATTCCATAAAATCAAATCAATAACTAAACACAATGCCAAATAAAAAAAATTTAGTTATGTAATTTAACAATTTTTTGAGTCAAATTGTTTGAAAGTGCTAATTTTGTACAAATGTTTAGTTATCTAATTATATTCCGTACCTTTTAATAAATGGTTAATGTGGACAGAGAACTCATTTGCACTATATGTATTTCAATAGCATTTCTTTGGAGCATCTTTAAAAGTTATATAAATCTGAATTATTATTTAAAATCTGATAACATCCTGAGAAGCTGCTTTGAAACTGTGTTGAGTTCAAAGCTTCAAGTTGCAAGTTTCAAAGCAGCTTGATAAAATATGTTGACAAAACATGTCTAAACATTATTGTAGAGTTAAATATTTGTAAAAGGCCAATAATATAATGTATTCTCTCATTTGTATGTAAAAACTCATGTTTGTAACTAGAACACAAATAATTTACATCTGTTTAGACTGTATTATATTTATGGTGTTATTGTAAATTGCTAAATTGTTAATTACATTAATTACTATTCTGAAATACTTACCATGTGTATAATAAGTATTTTAGAAGTCACTACATTGCCTTGTTTACATTATATTCTCTACTAAGAGCATCATCTTAGCAAATATTTATTGTTGTTAACAATAATAAAAATAATCAAATTTAACACCAGTTTCAGAATCAGTGAATGTTATTTTGGATAATTATCCAAAAACAATTATGTAATATTAAAATAAAGCTACTCATTATACCATGATATTGTTTTCTCATTAAATATGATAAATCAGTTTTTTGTTAACCTGCCTATTTAATTACTTTTCTTAATATGTTAATGATTATTAGTTAAATTAATAGTATTGTTATTGATTCAAAATGAATATAATATATAATTAGAAAAACTCCTTAATCCCGCAAAGAAGCATTTATTTTTGTTATAAATACTTGTCAGATTGTTTTATTCTTTAAAAATTTGTTATTATGAACATTCTGTATGTTTATAAAATCTATAATGATTTGAGTAATAAAATATTATATGGTGTACTTTATTATTTACTTGTGACATGAATTTTAATTAACCATGTTTTTTTTATTTCACAAAATTATGATATTTTTATATTTTGGAGCTTTTGTGTATAAACTTTCCACATCAATTTTAAAATTCAGCAAAAGTATTAAATCTCACATTGATAAATTCTTTAAACTTGTGGATAATTATAAATTTAACATTATTATTTTTTTACTCTACATTTTACCCTGTCTGTTGTATTAATGCGTGGAGAAGTTGGGAGATTAGAAGTAAATACATGCATACTTATATCTCCCAGCAAGCAAGTTTAAATTATTTAAATATTCTTTGCACACCTGTGGCTTTTTTGAATGAAAAATGTGTTAAGAAATTAACACATTTCAATCACAAAGATTTATTTAATCACTAATCATATGATGAAGAATTATCTATAGCAGTGATTCTCAACCTTTTTTTTGTTGCGGCACATATTAAACAATTTCAAAATTTTGCGGCACACAAAGAAAAAGATAAAAATTATTTACTTACTACAACACACTGCATAAATAGTTTATGACAAAAATTTCAAATATACGAAATAAACTAATATATACTACAATAATAACTAAACATTTATTAAGGGATTAATTACAATTACATAATAAAAATATTTTTAATGCCAAATTTGAGCTTGATGTTTTTTGATAATTTCATTTAGATTTGGTCGTAAAAATGACAATGCTACTCTCATATTGTCTTCTACATTTAACAATCTTGATCTTTTTTTAGTTTTAATGTTGGCTAATGCCAAAAAATATTTTTCTTTTTAAATGATAATAACATAATAATAACATTATTATATATTTGCAAAATTTGGCGGCACACTTTTGAATTTTGGCGGAACACAAAAGTGCCGCGGCACAGTGGTTGAGAATCACTGATCTATAGTAATAACTTAATTCAGTAACATACTTGAGGATGAAATCAAATTTGTTTTGATTTAACAATATTTATTATAATAAACTAGCTATATTATGTGCATCTTATAAGGTTCTTTCCATTATTTTTAATCCCATGATTCTTTAACTCTAAGATGTTGAAGTCTTTCATATAGAGTAACATCATCTTTAAAATATTTTTGCCGCGTCTCAATTATTTGCATTTTTCGTTTTTCTGCTTTTCCAAGTGCTTTCGCGTGCCCTGAGCTTTCAGCCTGAAACCACAAAGTTATATAGATTAATGTCTCCTCATAAACATCGATATATTACGGTTACTGCACATTTTGTATACACATTAAGAACAGTAATAGTTATTCATAATTACAATAATTTAAAGTTATTGTTGATATAATTCTCCTACCTCAGTGAGATAGGGAAACCTTAAATAAAACATATTCTGTTCTTCTATAGCAAAACTCTGTTGCAACCGACGCAAATGAACCGGTTCAACTTTCTTCACCAAACGATCTTTTCCTCTAAAAATGTGGCCATTAGGTAATCGGTTTCGTCTTAATAGCACAAATGATAATTTCATTTTCAATACTTAATAATACCAAACTTATATGCAAAAAGACCGAAGGCAAAGTGTCAATTGTCAAATCAATATAAGTATGACAGCAGCGTAGGTAGGTGAACAGGTTAAAGAAGCAGAGACCAGCATTGAGCTGAACATAAATTTGTCTAATAATAATATCTCATAAGGCTTTAACATTAGATTAGCAAATTAAATGAATCATTATTATAATCGTATAAATAGGAAGATGCAAAGTATTAATCATATATTGTTTTATACATGAACTGGAATATAGCTGGATACCGGAATGTTAAGAAGAATGTTGCTCTCCTTGTGCCTTTTCTTTGCAGAAACTAGAATAGTTATTTTTCCAATGAAGCTTCCTCCAGCTGTCAAAGCTGCTAGTACAGCAGCTTTGACTTTGAAAATGGAAAAGGACATCTACGATGATCATGTTTCAGAAACCGGGCGTAATTAAGAGAACATTGATCACAATCAATAGTGAAACCCATCCAGACGAAGTAATAGGGTTGAACTTACTATTTAATCATAAAACACTTACTTCAAAGAGCATACTCTTTCCTATAAGGCCGGCAACGCATTTGTAAGTCCTCTGGTGTCGCAGGTGTGCTTGGGCGGCGGTGATCACTCAGGTGAGCCTCCTACTCGTTTGCCACTTTTTTCTCATAAAAAAATGTTTTGTTATAAAACATCATTATTAAGTTTTCATTACTCAATGTCATTAAATTATTTCTCATATGATACTTTGTTTCCGAAACAATGTAATGCTGCCATACAAGTCTAAACTATAAGTCTCGCGTCCTATTATGAAAAATTTATTCTTACTATGTTTTTTATAAAACTCTTATTAGACATTTTCCCTATTTTTGCTGATACATAATGAATCTGTGATAGTTATTTAATCTAAATTGTAGAGAAAATCTGATTTCAGATCTTATGAATATAGTCTATGGTATATTATGGCTGTCGAGTCGATCGACAACGACAAGTACCACAAACCAAATCTTGTATTATTTAAGTAAATAATTTTAATTAACAAAAATTAATTTTCTAATGTAAGGAGATTATTCATTATAATTTTAAAAACAAATATGGCATCAAGGGGCTGAGGATTACTTTTTATTTGGAGCAGTTCTTGAATTGGGTAAGCTTATTATTGTTTGCAGCTTCCGTAATTTAAGATAGCTTTCTTTTATAATATCTTAAAAACGAATTATATTCTTTACATTCGTGGATAAAATCTTAAGATAAAAATCTGTTAAGGTGTTAATATATATTATATATATATGCAAAAGTAACATATTGAAAGTTTATTTCGGATACCCTTTCACTTCAATTTGTACGATATTTTGTGCTCTACTTATTTTGAAGGTGTTTTTTATCCATTGTTACGATTGAACTGATCGCATTGTGTTTTGCAATCAAAATATCATGTATTAATATTCCCTATCAATTTAAAAATTTCTGGCTCCTTTTATTTTATAATTCACCAATCAGATTATTGTTATAAGTGGCCCACTTAAATTATTTGTAACAACTCGTTTCATATACTAAGTATATGTTTATTTTCATAATATTATTAAGTGTACAATGATACTATAATAATTATAGTGTTAATTAATACTTAGGTATTTAGTAAATTAAATAATTGTATCAATGTGTAAAATTAAATAAGATCCTTTATTTATCTTTCACACCGTTTATGACTTCCTACCAAGATATTAATTATGACCAAAAATATTATCTCAATATTTTTAGTTTAGTATATTGGATTCATGGATATTTTATATAAAACTGATACTTGGAATTTTCATATTTTGCAGGGCATTTGTTAATTATCTCAGACCTGGTTGTTTTGGGCAGATCTTCAATGTGATTTGTATTATTAATGTTATAAAATAATGCTGTATTACATTATACCTAGGCTTATCGTAAATGGTGTGTGCCATGATAATTTTGTTATAATTTTCAATGTATTATTATAGAGTGGAGCTAGTACCTAAAGCTAATATATATTGATGATAAAAGATATATGTCACTCCTCAAATTGGAGGATAAAAAGAATACAAATTTAAAATAGATCTATGAAATTCAAGTAGTTATAATTATAATTCTATGAAACTCTAGTAGTTTTATCATAATTACAGTATCATCATTATAGTTTTTATAC